TTTAACAACGGCACCAATTTGCCGGTCAAGTTTGAAATCACTGTCCAGTTTAAGGCCCAAGTTTGAGACTGTTGACTTCAGATAAGGAGACAGGAGGCCCAAGTCTACAGGATGGGATGTACAAGGGCCACTGGGACCAAACAGTATCACCTGTCTTCTTTTCATTGAAAGTCAAGAAGTTTTGTGCCATCCAGGTTTTGATTTCTTCCAGGCAGGATAGAAGTGGCCTTAATGAGAAGGCGTCTTTTTTGCACAGTGGGACATAGATCTGGCAGTCATCTGCATAGCAGTGGAAGGAAATACCATGTTTCCTTAAGATGAAACCCAATGGGAGCAGATACAGCGAGAACAGCAGAGGCCCCAGAATTGAGCCCTGTGGAACGCCACATGACAGGGGAGCAGTGCGTGACTCGGAGCAGCCAAGGCTGAACAGCCAAGACGGTCCTGAAAACCCGGACTCACCCCACTCACCCATTTTGAATATGCTTGTATTAATATTTTATATTTATTGATATACTTTTTGTTTTCTGCTTTTTCCTTTTCATATTTTTGCTGCCGTAAATTGGTAATTTCTCCATTGTGAGACAATTAAAGGTTTTCTCTTCTTCCTTCATGGTGATAAAAGCTAAAAAGAAAAAAAAAATACGGAATAAATGAATGGTTTCCACTGGGCAATTTGCAGGATGGCCAATTGCGCTACCAACTTGAACCTAATCTGGCAGCTGTGGCGTGTCACCTGTCGTGGTTGGGTCCCACCAGCGGGTTGACTCCGGCAAATCCCGGCATGTTGATGTGGTCTTTGATGATCATCACGTCGCCAACCTTGTAGTCCTGGTTGAGGCTGCCGGCCGCGTTGGTCAGGATGACCGTCTCCACGCCCATCAGCTTGAAGACGCGCATGGGGAACACCACCTGCGGGACGTAAGACCTTTTCGCTTGATAGCCAATCGCATAGAGACGAACAGCCATCCGTGCTCACACTCACACCTAGGGACAATTTAGAGTGTTCCATTAACCTTCCATGCATGTTTTTGGAATGTGGGAGGAAACCGGAGTACCCGGGGAGAACATGCAAACCACACAGGGAGGTCGACACGCTAACCACTGGACCACCGGGCCCACCTTTTAATCTTTCAGTGTTTTACTTTTTTCAAGAAAATACTTATTTCTAAAAGATACGTCTCTACTTTTACGTTTGTATTTTTCCCAATTTTTTTTTTTCCAGAAATATGTCAACACATTTTTTTTTGTCTTACTTCTTTTTTAACCCACATAAAGAGTGAGGAACATGCACCATCTCCTAACCTTCTGGACGGGGTATCCCTCGTACAGGTGGAACCTGCCCTGCATACAAACGCAGGCCTTTCCCTTTAGCGTTCCGAAAACCAGCTGACCGGCGTGACCATGCACTGAAATGTAACACAACACAACACAACAAACGTGCTATTATATGAGCCAGCCTAACATACACGCACGTGCTACTACAACGGTTCAAAGTTAGCTGGCGCCATACCTGTGCTTTGCGGGAAATTGGGGATATCGGCGTACTTGAAGACCTGGCGCTCCTTGAGTATTTCGGCCAGGCCACCCAAACCCGAGCCGCAAACGATGCCCACGGTGGGCCGGGAGGACGTCTTGGACATCAGCCAGTCGGCCGATGCTTGATACTCGTCGCTGCTCGGAACAAAAAAATAATTTTGTGTCCTTACTGTTGGGGATTTTTGTGCAGCACTGTGTGGATCAGAACTTTAAAGTATTTCCACCATGGTGTCGTCACCACTATCCACACATGATCCGCTCCAGTGTTTTTTTTTTTTGTTGTTTTTTTTTTTAATGGTGGCAAGCAGCATATCCTGCACTGTAGTGATTTAAGAATCTTATTGTTTTATGGCATCAGCATCAAAGTACGATTCACCAAATGTCAACTAGGTCAATGTGTTATTTTTTTTCTTGACAAGTGATGCACTGTCTATACTACCCCCCCCAAAAAATCGTGTTTCCATGACAGTGATTTCATATCTATATTACAATCCAGTATCTTTTAAAGTTCAGTCATACATAGCATGACGCACCATAATTTGCACCGTCTTGACAAAACAATCGTAACATTCTACCCACTTAGTTTTATGTGCTGGTTTATGTAAACATATTCCTTCTGCCAGCAGCATCAACGTATGGCTATCCACGCATACTAGTCCAGGGTTTGTTTTTTTTTGTGGGTTTTTTTGTTTTGTTTTGATAGGGACGTCTTGAAGCATTTCATGCAATGCTGAGTAAACTTCTTTCGAGTTACACTTGGACCACGCCACTTAATACATCAATGCACATTAAAGTAATTAACAGAGCATATCAGACTCAAATAAGAACAAGAAAAAAACACAACGCTTTAAATGAACAAGAACAACACAGTTGCCTCAAAGTTAAATATTAGGTAATTATTCTGTGTGGCACGCTAGTTTAACTAGCTGCATATGTGCGTATAGGCGGAAACATATGCATGGCCCTGAAAGGCTGTGAGCGCAGTCTGACTGGGGATTTGCCGAGTGACGTCATTGTTCCTTAAAGCCTTTCATGGCATCGTCATCACGCCTAATGCCCCCTAATCTTCAAGAAAGGCTCCATAAATGAAAGTACATTTGTAAAACCTTAGCCATTATTCAGCGTGAATGAAAACCATCTTAAACCCGGATGCTGAGAAATGAGTCTTCTCAGTGACGGGATTGTCCCAGCACGTTCTCAGGTGATTTACGTTCAGTTTCCAGAAGAAAAAAAAAAAGGAACAAATGACGTCACATAGGACGACGTGAGCTCTCAATTCTCATCCAGCGCGCTTGAAAGAGATGGAACTCTTCAGAGCGTTTTTGGCCATTTTCAAACTTGGTTTGCGGATAATTCGTCTCAGAGGCGACGGAATCGAACCCCGCCGCCCGTAGCCTGACGCGTTCAGGGACGCCAATCTATCGGCTGATCACGTTTGAGTACCAGGCGGATGCGGAGGGTCCACGTGTGGCGCACGGATGCTGCGCGGATTAAAGAACAACTCACAATTTGTCATCCATTCAGAGACAATGATGCGGGAAGTCTTGATCTTGATAGTAGTCGTTCAGATGGGTCGAGCGGCTTTGCTTGACTGCTGGGCGCGCGTCTGTGAGGATGCGGAGGAGTTGGGGTTTTTTTTTCGCTTTTTCGACGCGAAACCCCGGCCCTCTCCTCTTTCGCCCTCGTTCTCTCAGCCAACCCGGAACAACCCCACTCCCACCGGGCAGCCACAGCCCCCAAATACGTCACTGGTGGTGGGTCGTCGTCAAGGCGGAGACGCGCCGGCCGTTGCGTTCAGGGACCACTCGTATTTGAAGCTGTCGAAAATAGAAATGTCGGGCAGCTCCTCTTACATACTGAGTTGTCTTTTTAGTAGCGATGCGTTACCTTGATTAATCATATCGGATTCGTCTGAGGTCATTTCAAACAGACCACTTGTTTTTGTGTATGAGGAAATCCGAGATTTGAGACGGATCCTGGAGACAAAACTAGCTTTGATTTGGTTGGATAGACGTTTAATAATTTGTCATTGCAACTGTCCCTTGTTGCTTTGATCCAACTGAATTTTAAGGTCGTTTTTAACAACTATATAGAGGTATTTAATGATGGGATTTGCAATTCCAGATAGTGCATGAAAGCAATACCCTGCTGGATGAAATAAGGGTTTGTTTTGTTGCCCCCCCCCCCTCCTTTCGTTAGGTTACAGAGTCGTTTTAGATAAACTGAAGGTCCTACTGAGCTATCAACAGGTGTTGCTGACAAATATTGTGATTTGAATGCAACATGCAAACGGGATTATTTTTGTCGTCCGTTTGTTTGGTAACAGTGTCGTTTTAGATCATTAATGCTAAACGATTCAAATAATGGAACGATGGATGGCAAATTAGTTCGGTCCTACGAGCTATTATTAACAGGTGTTCATGACAAGTGTTGTGATTTCATATTGTCCCTGAAGTCAACATCCAAACTGGATTAGCTCGATAGACAGACGGACAGAAAGACAAAAGCATTTTAGACACAGTCGTTAGATTATTATATCAGACGATCTCTGAAGGCCACAACGTGTTTTGAGTTAAGATCATCAGGATATAAACTTCCTCTAGGAGTGTGTGCGTGTGCTTGTATATGCTGTGGCGCACCCCCCGCACCCCGTGTGTGTGTATGTGTGTGTGTGTGTGTGTGTGTGTGTGTGTGTGTGTGCGTGCGTGCGTGTGTGTTCACTGCCGATCTATGTTTTTTTTTATCATTGTTCACATTGTGCCTTCACTATATGTGCTGTTATTACTACTTCGCCTACTATTAGTGTACTGTTGGAGCCCCTTGCAACACAATTAGGCGAACCCCCCTCACCCCGTGTGTGTGTGTGTGCGTCTGTGTGTGTTCACTGCGGAGCTATGGTTTTTTAATCATTGTTCACATTGTACCTTCACTATATGTGCTGTTATTACTACTTCGCCAACTATTCGTGTACTGTTGAAATAATAATGAAGAAATGTACTGTAGTACTATAATAGTGTTATTGGTTGCAGCTGTGTTGGGAGGAGCACATACCTTTGGTTGCTCGATGGTAAAGGAAAGCTTGTAGTGTGCGGTACTCCCAAGGTTTAATACCAATGCCAAGCCATTTAAGATACTGCATTCCCGATACTGTTTAAAAAGCAAGGGGAACGCGTCATCAAGTTGTGGATTCTGAATGCATTTTCGTGACGTTTGTGTTTTTGTAAATACAGCGGCACTACCACCGATACAGGTAATTGTTTTTTTTAATAGGTGGATGTATCATCATAGTCATATATACACGGACAGTACAGATGATATCAGCAATGACAATTATGTCTTTTTTAAATAATGAAGGTGGATGTGCCATCAAATTGTAAACTCAGAAAGAATGTTTGTGACTTTAATCGTATTTTTATGTGATTTTCATTACGCAGAGCTGATCCACGCCGCAACAAGGCGAGCCCACGCAACCAGACCAGCAGAAAGCCCCCGTTGACATGCTCGCTGTCAAGTCGGACTTTAAAGAATCCCCGCATCCTCTCACTCTTCCGTTTCTCTCTGCGTGAGGTGCGTGCACTCACTGCTGGACAACGGGCCGCTCAAAAGTGGCCATGCCAGCCGACTAGCCAAAGGGAAGAAGCATTTTCAGGTTGTGTCGGCATACATTAGCTAGCTAGCAAACCACACTCGGTGATGCGAACTAAGGCGCTCAAGTTCTTCAGGCGTGGGGGAAGAGCAACTCGTGTTGGACTACAAAATGCGTCATGCAGCGCCATTGTAGCCACGCCCCCAAAACGAGGAAACCTGAAACTGCGCACGTTTTCAGCAATTACCTTTGCACATGTAGAAAAAAATCCCGAATTCACTTTTCAGGGTCTTTTGAAGGCAGGACAAAATTTGGGCAAAGATGATAGGTAAATCCCGAATTTAAACGAATTATTATTTTTTGGTTCAGAACAACAACAATGCACCATGTAAAACACAAAGAAAATGTCTCTTTGTTTCACCTATTTTCAGTTTAAGTAAAAAAAAACAACAAATCACTCGGCAAGAAATGTTTTAAAATATTTCAAACAACTTCATTTTTTTCCAGGTCGAATATGGAAAAAACGGGGGAAGAAACGTAACTGATGAACCTAAAGTAAAATGTCCATCTCCCTACACCAGTGCTCAATATCAACATCGTTATTGTTGTTACCATATCTGGATCAATCCGCAAATCTGTGTAAACTCATGCAGGCAATGCATCTAAAATATTGAAAACGTGTCCCGATTGTCAAATGTTAAAAGAAATCACTACATTACACAAACTGAACGAAAATGGATATTAAATGTTTGAATAGATTGAATGTGCATCCCGTTTTCAATTTTTTTTTCCTCATGCAAATGCAAACAAGTTTCATATCGGCCGTGCTCCTCACCAGAAAAAGCCATTGTGTGCCGCACCGAAGCACAAAACGCGCGCACACAATCCTGTCAATAATGGAGAATTACCGACACCTAGTGGTAAAATTGGACCCCTTCATGTACAGTATTCATCAGTGTTGTGCATTGTAATCATGCCCCCTAGCGCAAATGAGTTGTACAGGCAGACGGACAGATCGAGAGATCAATTACCCAGTTTTATGTTTGATGAAGACTTTTCTGATTTCAGGCAGTTATTCAAGGCAACACCAAACCGAACTTGATGTAATAGGCTCTATGTTTTTGTTAGCTAGAGAGAATTGAAAAACACGGCCCCGCAACCAAATAATGCTGTCTGTCCCGAATGAAAATAGGTATTTAGATTTTTAAAAATGTTTTGTTTTATATTTCATGATATTATCCAATCACAAATATTTACAATCTCAACGCTGCTATTACCCATTCTTATAGAACAATTGCTCAGTTTTGAGAAAACCTATGATTTCTGCCTGTCACTGAAGGTAACACTTGACTTTGGACATTTTCTCCAGGGACGGCTCCGGGATTTCTTTTCTCAAGGCGCCTTTTTTTTTTCATCACTGGGGAAAGAAACATTGTCTGGGCTTACTTGATAGCTGATGGATTTAAAGAAACATAAATTAACAAGGACTCCTGAGTTGTTTTATTCAGCATACCTGTGATTTGTGACCGTCCCTAAATGCACCTCCGACTAGCTACACAAGCCATATACCGTATGTACCTGTAGATGGCAGATGCAATGTCATAGGTCAAAACTGTTTTAAACGGTACCTGAAGGCAACACTTGATGATCAGACAGGACAATTGCAGGAGATGATGACTAGTCATGATATAGTGTGTGTGTGTGTGTGTGTGTTTGTTTGTTTGTTTTTTCTTTGGCTTTTTCAAATCAGTTTTTTTATTTGCGTGTTGTCACCACAGAAGGGTGATTGTCGAGTGAGTCCGAACTCGCCCTGAACCCGTTGGCGGTGTCCGAAGAAGGAAAAGAGGAGGAGGAAGAAGATGGTGTGCAGAAGTGGAAGTGAAGCGGAGGACAAAGCAACAGCCAATCAATATGCAAAAGGCACACCACACACACACACACACACACACACACACACACACACACACACACACACACACA